AACAAACTCAGACTGAAATCCTAAACTCTGGGTTGATCTAAGCCTAAAGTCGGAAACTCTGAGTTTTTAATCTCATAAAAGCTGCTATTAATGAGTTCAAACACCACAGAGTAGGTCCACTCAGCGTTTAACACGTGTTAGGTAAGGAAAGCCATTATCAGCGAAGCACCGTTTCAACGAGTCACCATGGCAACAGGCAACAGGAAGTGCCTGTTTCACCCCACTGGAACTAGAGATTTAAGACAGAAAAATGTGTTTAAAAGACAGAGAAACGGCGCTAGAACTGCAGAGGAGAGAAGATTGTTCTTCGACTATGTAGGTTTATATGAAGTTATGTATGGCAGGCCATTTTACCATTTAATAAAGCACTCTCCTCTCTGTTCTTCCATTTATAGATCGCTAAAATAAGATTCTTCCTGATCAGAATCTCACTCCTAGAATGAACTACAATAATAGATTTTCTGAATTACATTTTTGCAACAGAAACTGAATTTCAGAAAGTAAATAAATAAATGATACTTGTAAAAATTAAGTTTCATGTACTTTGAGATGTTTCCATTTTTTTGTGGCCATTTTGACATTTATCACCTCGACTGAAAAACATTTCTTCAAAGTCAAAATAATACAGATGCTGACAAGTAACAACAGGAATATAGAGATCTGAAATTAATTTCTAGACATCCAGAATATTAATTTTTAGACTCGGTTAGGGTTTGACTTTTAAACTAAGACAAATTTTATAGTAATTTTGAGATTAATATCTGTGGAGCAAATCTGCAGTATTGTTGGTTTGGTTTCATCAGTTTGATGCAGAGTCTGAGATTTAGAGTTTATTCATCAGTTCATCAGTGCGGCGGGGAAGAAGCTGCTGCAGAACCTGCTGGACTAAAGCTCGGGTACGAGGAAACTGTCCTTCATCTTTTAAAATCATCACAATCTTCCTCTTGACAGCCAGAACACGCCATGTCTGACTGTCTTTTAAAAGCCATTTTTATTTCCTTATGAAAAACGCTAAATGTTTCCATCATTGTTGAAAAAAACAGATATTTTTAGAAACTTTGCCTAAATTTCACAGATTGTGAATCTAAATGAACTTTTTCAGGATTCAGAGTATAGATGATCATCAGGACCACAAGGAACATCACAGCACAGAAATCTTAAAGCAGTTCTACATTTTTAGTCACTCTGATGTTTGTGATGAGATCTATAATAATCAGATGTGTAAAACTGTTTTTTAAATAGGATGTATTTATGGGTTCTTTTTGCGTTCATGGATAATATCTCCATAAGGTTCCGATCAGGAACAGATTCCTCCTGAAACATGAGAAGAAAACATTTTGAAGGAATTGCTGCCGTAAAGAATTCTTTACATTTCTGATGAAAGTTAATCGGCTGAAGCCTCCAATCAGCTCGATCTGCTCGCCACCGTTTGCTGCTTCTGACTGAAACTGGGGAAGTTTCTTCTCCAGAGGAATTTCCTAAAATAGTTGAGGAGTTAATGAGTGATGAAGTCAGATGAAGCGACATCTGAAAATGTTTCATCTCACTCAGACCCAAACAGGAAGGGAAGAAAATGAGGGAATTCATTAAATATAACTGATGGTTAAACAGGCCAGTTATTATTAGTTCAACCTGAATGTTTGATTTTGTCTCATTTTACAAAAGAACTAAAACTGTGAAACAATAAAAAGGTGTTTTAATGTCATTGATCGCCTCCTGAAAATCATGGCTGATGAATCAGTTTCTCTGTGCTCCACCTGGTCTCTGCTGCTCATTCCAGTTATAGATCTATGAATNTAACTGATGGTTAAACAGGCCAGTTATTATTAGTTCAACCTGAATGTTTGATTTTGTCTCATTTTACAAAAGAACTAAAACTGTGAAACAATAAATAACTGGTTTAACGTCATTGATCGCCTCCTGAAAATCATGGCTGATGAATCAGTTTCTCTGTGCTCCACCTGGTCTCTGCTGCTCATTCCAGTTATAGATCTATGAATATAGATTGTTTCTGCTCTCCTGTAAAGTTTCAGGTCAGAGACAGAAAAGTCAGGCAGCAGAAATATCAGCCGAGCATCACAGAGATCTGATTCTTTTCCTAAACAGCCGGTTCTCATGTTCCCCCCCCACATGGCAGAATGGATCTGATTGAAAACGCTGCTTCCTTACCAGCATGGCGCCTGGACGCTGCCATGGTAACACATGACCTGCTGACCTCAAGGAAAAGTTACATTAATTCATTCATCTGTTTTATTCAGACGTTAAGGAATGGATCCCAGGGTTTAAATCTTCCCCCAAATACTCCGTTTATAAAGGAGAGATAGGGAGGGGCCCCCAATATCAGAGCCGCTGATAGTGGGGGCCCCTCCCTGATAGTGGGGGCCCCTCCCTGGCCCCTGCTAACCAGCATTGGTACAGACAGGTGTGAAAGGAGGCCTCAGGTTCAGTCAGTGTCTGTCAGTCAGAGGTTCCTCAGAGAAAAGCAGATCCACCAGCCGAACCGGAAAAACATTCATTATTTTTATTTCTTCCATCAGATCTTCCCAGTTTCTCATCAGGTTGCTCCGTCACTGTTGGTCTCTGCAGAGGATTCACACATTTGGTTGAAAATGGCGCCACCATGTGGCCAAACAGCAGCCATTCACCTCAGTGCTGACAGAAATGACATTCCAGGAAGACCTTTGTCTCCTTATGGTGACCATGTTTGGGTTTCTGGAAAGGAGGAGACTTTTTGGGGTGGGGGTGGGGGGGCTTCTCAAGCCACCAGTGGCTCTCACACGGACACTGACTGTTACGCCTCCTCTGTACTGGATTATAATACCACTATTGACAGTGTTAGACCCCAGAAGCAGATCACCAGATCACCAGATCAGAAGCCATGGTGAACAGGAAGGTGCGACACGCAACACGCCTTCAGATCAGGAGATGCAGCAGCCTGTAGCACAGCCAGAGCAAACCTGGAAAGGGCATCAAAGAGGCCAAGCACTGCTACAAGCTTCAGATAGAGGGACAGTTTTCCACACTGACCCCCGACGCATGTGGCAGGGAATTAAGGACATCAGTGACTATAAACTCACTCATCCCACCTCTGCAGCATCTGATGTCGACTTCCTGAACGAGCTGAACGACTTTTATGCTCGCTTTGAAAGAGACAACAGTGAAACTGGATCCTCAGCCGACCACCCGCCAATCACACTCTCCTCCACAGATGATGTCTGCGATGCACTGAGCAGGATCAGCAACTGGATCAGGATCAGCAGCTGGATCAGGATCAGCAGCTGGATCAGGATCAGCAGCTGGACCAGGATCAGCAGCTGGACCAGGATCAGCAGCTGGATCAGGATCAGCAGCTGGATCAGGATCAGCAGCTGGACCAGGATCAGCAGCTGGACCAGGATCAGCAGCTGGATCAGGATCAGCAGCTGGACCAGGATCAGCAGCTGGACCAGGTAACATCCCTGGACAGGTACTCAGGGCAACTGGATTCTGGACTTTCTGACCAACAGACCCAGAATGTCCGATCAGGCTCCAGCTGCTCCACATCCATCACTCTCAGCACTGGTGTACCACAGGGCTGTGTGCTAAGCCCGTTTCTCTACTCCCTCTTCACCCACGACTGCCAGCCTGTGTACGCGTCTAATTCCATCATCAAGTTTGCGAACGACACCACGGTGATCGGTCTCATCAGCAACAACGATGGGTCTGCTTATAGGGGGGAGATCGAGCACTTGGCCACATGGTGCACTGAAAATAACCAGCTGCTCAACACCACCAAAATGAAGGAGCTCATCAGAGACTTCAGGAAAGATTCATCAGGCACCAGCGACACCATCCACATCAACGGAATGGCTGCTGAACGTGTCTCCAGTTTCAAGTTTCTGGGGACCCACATCTCAGCGGACATGTCCTGGTCAACCAACACCTCCTGCCTGGTCCAGAAGGCTCAGCAGCGCCTCTTCTTCCTGAGGACACTGAGGAAGAATCAGCTCCCCTCGACTATCCTGGTGAACTTCAATATAAAGCATCCTGACCAGCTGTGTAACAGTGCGGTACGGAAGCTGTTCTGTTGCAGAGTGCAAAGCACTGCAGCGGGCGGTGAAAGCCGCCCAGCGCATCACTGGAACTTCACTACCCACCATTGAGCCAAAGAAACGCTGCCTCCATGGAGCCCGCAGCATTAAGGACTCACCCCCCAGCCCACAGACTGGTTCCTCTCCTGCCCCCCAGCAGGCGGTTCAGGAGCCTCCGGACCAGAACCAGCAGACTAGAGAACAGCTTTTTCCCACAGCTGTCTTTACTGAACTCTAATCCTCACTGATGGACTCTCCCCTCCCTCCTCACACCTACCACCATTTTGCTTTTCTGTTTTTTTACAAAACTGTAATGTTCACCTGCACTCCTGACTGTTACCATAGTAACAACTGTTTGCATGCATCGTGCACATCGTGTACTCACCTGGACTGAATACTGATTTGAACTGCCGACTGTTTATTCACAGCACTAATTGTTTATATTTACATCTGCAATAACGTACTTTAACTGTAATATGCAATTAGCTTCCACTGCACTTTAATTTAGATAGCTTCTGTTCAAACTTTATTTATTCATTTTATAGTAAACCCATCTATATCTGCTATTGGACATAACTGTAAAAACCCTTTTATAGTAATATCCACCTGTATGTTATATTCTGTACATATCCAGCTGTAAATTTAGTTCATAACACTAGTGATCTATATATTATATTCATTATTTATAATATTCATCTCCATATTTATTCAGTAGAACCATGTCCTTTTATTTATGGAACCATTATTTATTTATTCCTGCACTGCTGCTGTTGCTTCTGGTTGGACCTAAACTGCATTTGGTTGCCTTGTAGCTGTGCAATGACAATAAAGTTGATCTAATCTAATAAATAAACAATCAATCTCTTAATAAGAACATATTTTATTAACTTTTTCAATCAATAAAAATACAATATTTTCTTCCATAAATTATTGACACACATAGGAGGGAGCGCTCCGCGTCACAGTTTACATTCGCTTGTTCTCAGCTTTAACAAACCAAGAACATTCAGATACAGGAGGTCAGAGGTCAAATCTGAAGCATGTTGGTGGAGTTAGTGTCCCTTCACCAAAATACCATGGACAGCTCCAGTCTGACCAGTCTAACCAGTGGGGGGGCTTAGAGGAGCTGGAAAGCTCCCCAGAAGGTTTTGTCTCTCTCATATTCTCCCGTGATGTTCAGCCTCACGCTGTCGCCTCCATTCAGGCTGACGATGCGCCCCATCCAGACCAGGCCGCCCGCCTCCGCTGCCGGGACCTCGGCCTCCGTCTTCTCCTTTTTACCTGGAGACGGGTTCCTGATCAGCTTGACCGACAGGCCGTGCTTCTTCTGCCTCCTGAAGACCACCTGGGCGTAGATGAAGAAGCGGGAGCGGGCGGAGCTGTTGCTGATGTAGATGGAGTTCTGATGGAGGGACAGCGAGCAGGACGCACAGACCACATGTTCCTGCCATCCAGGATCATCCAGATCTGCAACCAAATCACAAACATTCCTTCAGTCCTGAGATGAACCTGCAGAGGAGAACGAAGATGTTTCCTTCCCTCTCTGGAGTTTTCTTTGCTTTGGGACGATGTATATATCTATATATCTATATATCTATATAGATATATAGATATATAAATATATAGAATATATAATCTAGCTCACCAGACTATATAATTACATCTCAGTTAAACATAAAGGAGCGAGACGATGAAGGGCTTAAAAAACAAGCATTAAAATGTTAAAATAAATCCAGAAAAAAAACCAGGAGGCAGAGCAGGAAGGAGAGGATGGACTGATGGTCAGCCTGGACATGGACAGGACATCCACCACCATAGATCCTCTACCATAGATCCACCACCATAGATCTGCCACCATAGATCTGCCACCATAGATCCTCTACCATAGATCCACCACCATAGATCCTCCACCATAGATCTGCTGCCATAGATCCTCCACCATAGATCCACCACCATAGATCTGCCACCATAGATCCACCACCATAGATCCTCCACCATAGATCCACCACCATAGATCTGCCACCATAGATCCACCACCATAGATCTGCCACCATAGATCCTCCACCATAGATCTGCTGCCATAGATCCACCACCATAGATCTGCCACCATAGATCCACCACCATAGATCCACCACCATAGATCCACCACCATAGATCTGCTGCCATAGATCCACCACCATAGATCCACCACCATAGATCCACCACCATAGATCCTACACCATAGATCCTACACCATAGATC